CATCCCCGGGACGGCTCGCAGCAGGGCGGTTTCCCCAGGAGACTCGGGAATGGGGTCTGGGTCTCCACCTTGGCCCTGCCGGGGGGGCAGCGTGGGCATTGCCTCCCCCTTTGCCCCACAGAGCGGAAGCCGAAGCCGGCGGCCCAGGACGACATCCCGGTGCCCAAGTTCAAGCGGCGCAAGCGGGAGCCGGAGGCAGCGTTCGTACGGCGCATGGAGCAGGAGGCGCGGCACGTGCTGTTCCTCACCCAGAACCAGCTGCAGCGCCAGCCCGAGAAGCAGGAGCCGGCCCCGGAGAAGTCTGCCCGGAAGAAGGAGTACGTCCGGCACCGCGCGCCGCCCAGCAAGGGCTGGGGGGCCAGGCGGGTCTGCCCCGGGACGGCGGCGTATTGCCCCCTGCGGCAGGGACCGCGTGCTGCCTCAGGGCCGTCACCCCGGGGGACACGTATCCTAACCCTTCTGCATCCCAGAGCGTGGAAAGGAAAGGACGAAAGCAGCTGGTTGCCAAGGGGCTAAATCGCCCCGCTTTCCCCTACCCTGGGGCAGGCTCCCAGCACCCCGGCCCAGCCCGCCACTCCCCAAACCAGCCGTGGGCCCAGCTGAGCCCCCTCCCCTGCTGGGAACCAGTTCTCGTGGGCACTAAAGCCCAGCAGCACCTCACCCGGGTGGCAGCAACGAGACCGGGCTGCCGGGGGCAGAGCGCTGAGCCTCCCTAACTCGGCCCCGGCTCTGCCTCCCCCTGTGCCCGCAGGTTCTGGAACAAGAGGCTGGATAAAGTTCGGAAGAAGAAAGCGGAGAAGAAGGCAGCGATGCTGGAGCAGACCCTGCTCCAAGGTAGCCAGCGCCAGGCTGGGGCGGGTCAGGCAGGGAAGGGAAGCGGGCCCCATATTCTCATGCTGGTCCCCATGGATGCAGGGTCCCGGCTCCCCCCTGAGAAGCGGCTGCATTTCAGCATGGAGGGAGCCTTGCTGTAGGTGCCCAGGCACTACGGTGTTTCGGGGCAAGAATCACCGGTGCCGCGGTGCTGGGTGGGAGCGAGGGGATGGGAGCTCTGGCTGTTCGATACCTCCAGTGACACCTGCCTTCTCCCCTCTGCCCCACAGACCCTGTGAAGTTTGGGGAGGTGGCCTTGCAGCCCCCGGTGCTCACAGCCAGGCCCCGGAAGAGCACAGACAAGGTGAGCTGTGTCCAGACTTGACTTTGCAGCCCGGCTTGGTCAGGACCCTCGGTACCAACCTGCAGCTCTGACTCCTGACTGTTGATACCTCCTGGTCCTGCCCTGCTACCCCTCCCTGCTGCCCCAGGTCAGGACTCCAGGCAGGAGCTACAAGCCAGATCCCGTCTGGTTTTTGGGGTCACCCGCTTGCTGTGGGGATCAGGACGCTCCTGCCTTGGGTGGCTGGGTTCCTGGTGTCTTAATTGCCGGGGTCTGTCCCTGCAGACTCAAACCTGTTATCCCTTAATGGGCCTTAAGTCCTGGCTAATCTTCCCCACAGGCCGGTCAAAAGCGGCTCCTGCTGACGTCTCTGCTGGGCCCTGGGCACGTGCCCCCCGTGCCCAAACCTGCCCCTGTGTCCCTGGCACGCCAGCGCATCCTGGAGGAGGAGAGGGAGAGGGTCGTCCTGGCCTACCGGCGCCTGAGGAAACTCAAGCAGCAGCAGCAGCCGCAGCCATCTCCTGGCCGCCCTGGCAAGGGCACGCGGAAGAGCCTGCTATGAGCCCTGAGGCTTGGCTGTCTCAGACAGATCTGGGAGGGGACTAAAGGGGACAAAACTGGGGGTCTCCCTGGCCCTGAGTTTGCTTGTTCCTTGCAGCCTGGAGCTGGGTGGCAGCAGCAGTCACCTGCTTGAGGGGAAGCTAAGGGACATCTGGGCGCAGAGCTGAGCTCAGCAATGACTAGAGACCTCCATACCTGTGCCGAGCTGGGCAGTGGGACACTCCCTGTCTGTCTCCTGCTGGGAGCTGGCCCTGCCGCGGGTCTATCACTACCAGGGCATGGGGACCTGCTGCTAGAGAAGTGATGCTATGGGAGCTGGTCTCCTGGTGACAGCCTGGAGCCGAGGCCGGGAGCTCCAGGCACCCTCAAAAGTTCCTGGCTGCGTCTGCCAGGTGGAATAAAGGCGTCAACAGCAGCATCTCGTCCTCTCCACTACACCCGGCTTCAACTGTCCTGCGTCCCTAGTGCCAGCAGGTGGCAGCCTGCACCCGCTGTGGCCAGCGCCAGGCTCCAGGCATGGGGGCTGACATCGGGATGTTGCACCCGCGGGTCTTGCACCTGTAGCTGGCACCCTGGCCCACAGGAGAAGGGGATGCTGCTGGGTCGGATCCTTGGCTGGGGGCTGTGCTCAGCTTCCCCGTGCAGCAGTGGGGCATGGCTGAGCTCCCACTCGAGCTGCATTACAGCCTGCGGCTCTGCCTTGGCACCAGTGCCAGGCAGCTACTTCCACCAGCAGGGAGGTATAGAGAGGCTCCAGACCTGGGGACCTAGCTGCACAGGCCCCTGGGTCTGCTGTTGCAGCCTTTGGCCGCAAGTCACCTCTGGTCTAGTAGTAGTTTTCACGCTGTCCTAGCCCTTCTCCCCTCCACTCCACCAAGAGCGACAGGCAGCAGCGCCTGGCACATAAGGGCAGCCTGCTGTGTGCAGCTTAGTCCCTGCCTGAGCTGCTCTGGGGCAGCCTTGACCGGCTTCTTCCCCCGGTGCTGACCACAGGCCAGGCACTGGTAGTTGTCCCGCACAGACCAAGCTCTCAGCTCCAAGCTGTGGGCCTGAGGCCTGGATCACTTACCCTGCCCCCTGCCATAGATACCCAGACATGTTGGCATGGGTTCTGCACTACCCCTGCCTGCTCTGCTCAGTCCATCTTGATCTGGGCTTGGTCCTGCTGGCAGCCTGGGCCCCATCCCAGGATTTGGAAGCCCGGCCCCGGCAGGGAGGTGACGGAGAGATTTCCAGCCTTGGCAAACCCCAGAGCCTGCCCCTTCTTGCACGGGCACACAGGGCTCCTTTCACAGCAGCTGTTTGCGGAGTGGTAAGGTGACACCCGCCCTCCGCACTGCAGGAGGAAGGACAACCTGGGCTGGGAGCAGCTGGTGTGTGGGGCCCTGGCCTGGCAGGCTGGGGGACCTGGTTTCAGCCCTGCTGGGGGGTCTGCAGCTCCCTGGGCTGCAGCCCCTGGCACCTGCTACACCCCCACCCCAGGGCTACCCCCACCACAGCCCCTAGCAGTTGCCTGGATGCAGGGATCACCAAGCAGCTGCCCACCCCGGCTCCAGGCTTTCAGGGGGTGATAACCTCCCTGCTCTATCTTCCCATCAGCCTCATAGCAGACAGCTCAGGATGGGGGAGCAGCGCTCGGGGCAGGGGCTGTACAACCCACTCAACACTGTGGACCAGCACACACCTGCCTGCCATCCCCCAGCCCCTGTGCTTGTCCACCGTGAAGCCAGCACAGGCCACTGCTTCCCAGCCAGCCTGCCCTGGTACGAAGTAGATCTGCCAGAGCCTCCCCTTGGCTCGGGCAGGAGTGACCAGCACGGACATGGTCCTCTGGGCAGGAGTGGTTGGGCCAGCCCCCCACCAGCTGCAGCTGGCATAGGAATGGCGCAGACAGTCAGCCGCAGCACCCACCTCCACACGTCCTCGGCTGTCCAGGGGTCCCTTCTGCCCACGGCTTGTCCCCCACGGCGGGGAGCTGTGCTGCTGGCAGCTGGTTTCTTCCTTTCTGCCATGAGACCAGGCCCCTCGCCCCTGCCCAGAGCCCCCACATCAGCCCCCGTGTTTGCACCAGCACAGCTCAGCTGCTGGAGGGACCTGCTTTTCCCAGGGTGGCAGCCTGCCCCTTGCCCCCAGGTGCTGCCACTTACCTGGAGCTGCCTGCAACCCTCCTGCCAGGTGTGGTGGGGAGTGGGCAGAGCCCAGCCCAGGTGGGATCATGCACCTAGCCCTTTCTCACCTGCAGGCCCTTGTCACACCTGAGCTTCAACAGGGGAGGTCTCTGTCCTGCTTAGTACCCTGGGCCTGTGACCCCTGCCTTGGGGTATCCCAGCTGGCACTGCAGGCACCTATGCATGTGCACACATTCCCAGACCAGCAGCTGGGAGGTGGGTGCAGGCACTCCTCTCCTTTGTGCCCCCAGGCACACAGGTGCGTGGCTGCGTGTGTGGCCACTGAGCTGGTGCAAGGGGGTGGGATGCTGCCGCTTTTGTTCTGCAAAGCTCTAGAGCTGGCGGCGAGGCCTGGCCCACCCCAGTCCCCCCGGCAGATTCCAGCACGGGCGCCCACGCTTGCAGGGGGAGTCTGGGGAAGCCGCTTTGCTTCACCTGCCGCCGGGGACAAAGGCAGCGCTGTTCAGCCGGCCCCGCCGCCATGCTGAGCGAGCACCGGGCTTGCACAAAGAGCTCCTGTTGGCGGCCGGTGCCCAGCCCTGCCCCGCTTTGCCTGGCTGGAGCGCTGCTCTGGTCTGGCCTGAGAGGCGGGGAAGGGCTGGGAGCTACGGGGCAGGCTGGCGTCCCTCGCACCCCAAGGCCCATCTCCGGGTTGTGGTCGTGGAGGGCTGTGCCACGTTGCACCCAGGCCAGGCTGGGCAGGGGACACAGCTCCATGCCCGGTCCCTTTCCCTCGGGCCGGGCTGGCAGCTCCCCTGCAGCAGCTGCAGGAGCAGCCGGAGACCTTGGGCTGCCAGGAGGGAAAGGAGCCATGTCGCTTGTGCCCATGCCTGCGGGAGCCGCTGGCAGTGCCCAAAGCCCAAGGGCAGGCAGGGCAGTGCATGGGCGCCGGGCCAGGGGCAGGGGATACTCCACCCTAGCAGGTGGGAGCACAAGGAGCTGGAACCCACCCCAGCCTGCCCTCGTCGGCACCCTGCCCCAGCTACGAGCCCCCACTGCAGACTCACACTGCCTTGCAACTCCCGCGGTGCAGCTTGCACCACAGCATGGTCGCCCTGCCCCAGGCAGCGCCACGTGCCAGATGGCGTGGCGAGCTAGTGTGGTCCACGTGTGGCCCCTGATCCTGGGCTCCTGCCCCGCGGGGCCACAGCGCTGCAAACCCCGGGCAGCTGCTGGGCCGAGACCCCCCCCCTCCACTCCTGTGCCCACGCTCAACCGAGCGAAAGGGCAGCAGCTTGTTTACGAAGCCCAAGGAGATTAGACACGGGGCTATTGCCTGGATACGGCGCGCCTGGCAGGGCCCAGGGCCAGCACCTCCAGCGCCGCGCTCGGGGGGCAGTGGCCGTGTCCTTGGGAACCGGAGCAGGCAGGTCCCGCCTGGCTACTCGGCTGTTAATGGCTCACCGTTTCCCCCTGACCCTGGAGCAGCAGGGCTGAGCAGCTGGACTTGGCGTCACAAGACGTCCAGGAAGCCGCTCATGGCCACGCAGCTCCTGCCGGGCTGGGAGCCACAGGGGAGACGAATGGAAGCAGGGTCAGGGCAAAGTCCCCGGGGCAGCTCGTTCCCACGTACACGGGAGATAAGGTGGCGATGCTCAGCCTGGCACGGGGAGCGCATCCCGGCCGGGCTGGACTTTGGCCCCTTTGCATTGAGGAAGCACCTGGAGGGCTGGGCAGACGTCAGGGCAGCCAGGGCTCTCCGGGCCTCGGTGCCCTGAGAATCGGGCATGGGGGGCCAGCCCCGGCATGAGCCCCATGGGGCAACGAGCTACCAGCAAAGGGCCAGCAGCATGGGGCGGACCAACACGGCTGCCCCCAGCGGCCCCGATCCTGGCACCTGCCTGATGCAGACTGATCTCTGCCTGGCCCAGCCCTGCTTGCTCCAGCTCCCAGCTCTTATCTCCTTGGTGCCAGCTCCCCAGCGGGTTACTCAGTAACCCTGGGGCAGGGAGCAGCTGGCTTGCAGCAGAATCACCCCCGTCCAGGCCTGGGGGGACCGTGGGAGTGGTGGGCTGATAGCTGGACCCACTGCGAGTCTGGGGAACAGGAGCAGGCAAAGAACAAGGGGAGGACCCAGGCGTCCAGCCCCAGGGAGCGGGTCCCCAGGCTCCCCTCGGAGCCCAGGGCAGACACCCCATCTCTGGGGCTGGTGCAGCCCCCACACCCCCTCCCTCCGCTCTCAAGGAGGAAGAGGTCACCTGGCTCCCGCGCCGGAGCTGGAGGCACTCAATAATTCATGGCGCCGGCCGCAGGCTTCCTGCCTGGCAGGGGGAAAAAAAAAAATCACTGCAGAGGGGGAAAGACAATCCGGGCAGAGACGGCGCCCGACCTTGGCATATCTTCTGCCCTGCAGCCCACCCCCCAGCCTACCCCAGGGCCCAGGCTGCTGGCTCCGTGAGCGCTCGGGGGGCCGAGTGCAGCGAGTTTGCTAGGTCTCAGCCCGTCCATCCCTCCAGACCCAGAACCGATGGGTCTCAGCCGGGCTGACCACGCCACGCAGCCTTGGGGTGGGGAATGGGCTGGAGGGATGGAGGAGCCTTAAGAGCCCCCCAAAAAGAAGCAGAGGGCTCGGATCAGATGGCGCCTGGCTCTCGGGGCGACAGGGCAGAGGCTGGGAAGGGATGGCAGGCAGCGTCACCCTACCAGGGGGGCAGGAAGCTTGATGGGGTTTGCAGCCGGTCCCCAATAACCCCGGGAGAGGGGGGGGCCTGTCTGATCCGTGCCCGGCTCCCAGCGCTCCCTGAGCAGGCAGGGAAGACACAGAACCACGAAGGAAAAAACCCGGCGGCTTTATTACGCGTGGAGTCTGCCCTAAAAAAAGAGAGAGAGAAAGCCCAAAGCCCCCCCGAGGGAGAAGATAACAGCCCCCACCCCAGCCCCTGCTCGCTGACACTTGTCCCCGTGGCCCTTCACACGCCTGTGACGTGCACACATGTGGGCGGCCCTGGGGCATCGGAGCTGGATGGGGTGGGGGCTGCCCTGGGGACAGACATGCTTGCAGATACAGCTTAAAAAAACCAAATTGCCAGGACAGGAGGAGCCCCGGTAGGAAGGCACTGAACGCTGCGACCGCAGAGAAAGGCTGCGGGGCTGTGCAGGGCAGAGGCCATCTCGGCCTCCTTGCACTAGGATGGTGCTTTCTCTCCCCAGGTGGGGAGCGAGCTGGGACGGGGAGCTCAGTGCTGTTAGCTCCGCTTGGCAAGAGGGGGAAACTGAGGCACAGAAGGTGGCGGGCGGTGGCAGGGCTCCTAGGCCTGATTAAGGATGCTGCCTCGTGCCTGCCTCAGCATGGCACGGGGCTTGGCACAGGGGAGTCAGGGGGACCCAGTGGGTCCTAGAACAGAGCGGGGAGGGCTGCCCAGGCGGCCCCTGGCTCAGCCCCGCGAAGGCACCGACAGATCCTAGAGTCCTTCCTAGGAGCAGCTCTGCCCTCGAGCCCCCGGGTCCCTGCTGGGGGGGCTCAGGGGCAGTTGCTGGGGTCCAGATGCCCGGTGGGGCAGTCTACGGCTGTCGCTGATCCCGGTGGAAAGGCCGTTCATGTCCGGGACGGGCTCTGGGCTGGCGGGGGCATGTGGATCTCCGGGCTCCCCACGGGCTGGCTCTCAGTCTCCGTTTCAGCCCTGCCGGGCGCTCCGGCATTGACCCCCGGCGTGGCTGCAGTGGGCAAGGGGGAAGGCGCGGCTCAGCAGCCCCTCCGCAGAGGAACGGGGCGGGTGGCACTGCAGGATTCGGGGCGCAGGCCGTTACCACCTGCTCTTGCTGTACGGGGCGTCGGTGGCGGAGGGAAAGATGTCAGGACACGGCTCATGCTTTGCCTGGGGTCAAAGATCAGAGCCAGAAGTTCCCGGGTTCCAGCCGCCCGCCCCGTGGCCGCCCCATCGTCATGGACCTGCTGGCCCCTGCCGTCCTTGGGGCCCGCGGCCTGCCGGGCCTGGGCGGCGTAGACGTCCTCGGCACGCAGGGTGGAGTTGGCGCTGCCCATGGCCAGGCTGTTGGCTGTGGCACGGGGCAGGATGACATCGTAGGGGCTCTCGGGCTGCCGGTGGGACAGAGGCAGGCAGTGAGCGCGGGACAGAGCAGAGACCCCCATGCCCACAACGCTCCCCGGGGTGAGCTCTCCGGACCAGGCTGGGTTTGGCTCTGGCTGGGTGCAAGGCAGCCTGAGCGGCTCGTCCCAGCACAGGGAAAGTCCTGGCATGGATGTACAGGAGCACCCCCAATGTCCAGTGCCAGATGTGTGTCAAGGAGCCTGCCATTTCGGACAGAGAGCTTCTTGGAGGCAGCTGGGGTATCAGGAGACACCCCCTTCGTCCCCCAAAACCTCTCCCTGCATGCTCTTCTGGTAGCAGGACCCCAGGCTGGCAGCCGAGCTGCCCCCGCATCGGCACATCCTGCCGCGCCAGGCTCCAGCTGTGCCCCGCGATCGAGCGGTGCGGCAAGAGCTCATCCATCGCACTGGAAACCCCCACCCGCCCCGGGGTGGGATTCACTCACAGGCCCCTTGTGCATCAGAGCCATCTCGGTGGGCTGGTACACGCTCGTCAGGAGCTGCCCGTTGTAGCCACTGTACGGGGACACGGGCTTCTTGGCTGCAGAGAGAAGATGTGGCGCTGAAAGCCGAGCCAGTGGCACTGAGCACGACTCGTGGCAGCCCCACGCTTGGACCAACACAGCGGGCAAATTCCCGGCTGCAGGGAAGACCGGCGCTTTGTTGCCAACAGACCCTGCCCTGCGAGACCCCTCGGGGCTGCAAGCTGGGCCAAACCAGGGGCGTCTCTGCCCTTGCAGCAGCCCCTGGCCCAGCGCCATGCCAGCCTCTCCCTGGCTTTGGCTGCGCCCCCGCAGCGGGTGCCGTTAATTGCCCAACAAAGCAAAACAGGCTCTAACGAGCTGACTCATCCAGCAGCAGCTGGGGACCTTCCCGCAGCCCCACTCGTCCTCCCCGCGGGCTTTGTCTCCCCTGGCAGCGGTGAGGTCAGGCTCCGCCGCCTGTGCAGGTGTCTGCGTTGGGCTGGGGAAAGGTGTGGGCATGCGTGGGCCGGCTCGGTGATCCTCCCGGGGCACGGTGGGAGGATCTCGGCTGCAGGCCTGGAGC